TTTAAAAATAGTTTGACTTTTAAAAATTACCAAAATTTTTATAAAAATATTTGGATCCATTTCTGATTTTTCTATGGCCTTATTTTTCACTTCTTGAATATTTTGAACAAAGTTGATATATTTCTCATTATTTTCTATTTTTAAACTTTGTTTTTTACCCTTTTAATGTATATATTAAATGTGATATTATTTTGGGATTATTTTCTGGCTAATCTTGGGTTAGGTTTTAGATCATGAACTTTATTAACATCATTGGATCCATGGTATTGAGTTTAACTCCACAAAAAAATGGATGAATGATTTTAATAATAGTTTAATTAAAATTTAATTCAAATGTGGTTTGTATATTCTTTTTTTACCCTAATCCTCTTCATCTCATCCCCTTCTTATTGCACTAAATATTGTTGTAGCATGATCTCTATATTATGTCTCAAAACAAATGGTGCATAGATTACTATTGATCAGCCTCAAAATAGGTGCGACTTCTATATAAGTCCACTTACGATTGCTTAACATAGCGCTAAGTTTTATCCCGATTCGAATAAATGATCATTCGTGGCCAAAACTTATGATTTCAAGTACAAGTATGTTAATTTGATCTCTTTGATCCAATAACCATGAGATTCATTGTGTGGAGGCTTTGGTTCTACCAATCCTCTAATGGATCTACAACACCTTTGGTCAACGCGGATCACTTAAACATCATTGATCATTAAATGGTACTTGTGGGAATTCCAAATGGATGATATACTTGACAAAAAGCAAATGCAACTTGTTGTGTGGAGGCTTTGGTTCTACCAATCCTCTAATGAGTTCCAAATGCAAGTTTCAAGATGTTCATCCAACTAACCACTAATTATTGACTTGTTTTATCTTATGCTTTTATTCTTTTTTATGCTTTATGTACTATTTATTTTTAGCATTTTCATTTCATGCCATTTTCATCTTTGCTCATTTGAGCATTTATTTTCTTTCCATTTTTACTTTGCTCACTTGAGCTTTTATTTTCTTTTCTTAAGATACTTAATAATCGACATAAACCCTAAAAAACTCTTAATGGTACTTGGACTATTTGGTTACTATCCTTGGCATTATGGAGCATGGAACTTTTCCTTGGACTTAGGATTAGAAACCTTGGCCTATCTTGGAGACCTTGTGATCTTATCTGATTATTTTGTCTGGAGTTCTTGAGGTTTTCCTCAAGACATTGGGTTGCTTGTTTGTTTTTGTGTGCAGGTTTTTGTGATTACACTCTTTGTTTGTAATCTGAAATTCACTCGTATACAGCCGTTACTCTGCCCAATTTTTGTGAAGACTTAATACACTTGATGTTTGGTTCTCTCGAGAGGTCTAGTATCTTTGCTTGCTTGGTTTCAATCCAAAGAATGGGAATTCTATCTTGACACATAATGTCAAGTATTGGCTTCTTGTTGGGTAGATGATTCTTCTCCTTAGCTTTTACCTTATGCTTTAGGATAGTCTCTTCTTCTCCCCACATCTTCTTTAATTTCAAAAATCTTCTCCCTCCTTTTGAAAATTCTTCTCATTTCTAAACTTGAAACACTTTCATAATAAACTTGGACTTATGTCCATGCATTTTCAAAATATTTTCATAAATAAACTTCAATAAATTTAATAATACCTTGACATTTTTTGTGAGAAGACTAAAAGTCAATCAATCTCATTTCAAACCATTTTGCCACTTTGGCTTTTATCATTAAACTTTTCTCAAAAGGTTAGACTCTTGTCAATCCTTGTAGTGATGCAAACAACTATACTTCTACAATATGTAGTGAAGTGAGATATTTTCCACTTGGGTGTTGAGTGAGGCATTGTTGATTTTAAAATCCAAGCCATATCCTCCACTTTAAGATGATGCAAATTATCCTTTCTCATGATTGTGGGTAGTAAGTATATTTTTCCACACGGACAATGATGATGATGTTTTATCTTATAAAATTAACCAACACACTTGTGTTTCAAATTTTTAAAAGAGGAACTACGTGTACCTTGATCCTCTATTGCACGAAAGGTGGTATATAGGCACTAAAGGTTCGCAACCGCGACAGGTGCAAAAATCATAAAAAAATATATTTCTTTTCTCACCTCTACCATCTATTTCCTATACTACACATTTTTATAGCCAAAATATACAGATTTTTCAAAGAGGTTCATGCGGAGTACCGTAGATATTTAGGGTGCTAATACCTTCCCTTTTCATAACCAACCCCTTTACCTTGAATCTTTCCCCCTCTTTTGGGTTATTCACTATTTTCCCATTCCTTTGAAAACAATAAAGCGCGGTGGCGATTTTTATTTTGATTTGTATAAAGTCTAGTCAGTCCAATGGCTTAGTCTTGAACATTTCTACCACTATAGTACAAACAGAAGAGCTTGTACTATGTTTCCAGCAGAGCATTTGAAGTTTCGTTTGAATCATCAGAAGCAAATTCAATGTAGCACCGAAGTTCCATTTGAACATCAGAGCCTGAAATAATATGGCGTTTAGGTCTTATATGAAATTCAGATTCTGGTCCATTAGAATCTGTATTTACTTGCTTCTTATTTACAAGTTATTAACTAGGTCAGAACCTAGTTAATTATAATCTTAATGATCCTGCACACTTAACCAAACATTAGTATACCCTATTGTTCTTTAAGTATTTTTGTTATCATCGAAACTCAAGGAGTATGAGATCATAGAGTGAGAACATATTTTGTTCCAACATGGGCAACAACAATAATCAAAAGTAAGAACATTGCAAAGAAAGTAAAGAATAATAAACAAGTAAAGTAAATAACAAAATAAATTAAATAAGAAAACGAGATTATAATAGAATGCTGAAAATTACAAAGCTTAAGCTAAAGAACTAAAAAGAAATAACAATGTTTTTCAAGGAATTCTAGTGGAAAGTGATGAAAATGGAGAATCCTAAGGCCCTACTTATACTAACTCAAAGGCTAGGATACTCATCACATGCACTATTCATAAATACAATGGGAGTTACAAAAGCCAAAAAGTCACAAAATTGCCAAAAACCAAACGTTTATAATTTCTTGAGTGCTGACACGAGCTGGTCGTGTCAGCCTTTGGTGTCTTATATGGAGAGGGATTTGAAGGGGAGACACAGCCCGTGTCATGGGAAACGGCCAGTGCTCATTTTTGTGTGATCTTCGACCTTTTCGTCCCGATTCGTTTCATTGACTTCTTATTGATAGAAAATAAGTAAACAACACAAAAGCGCATAAAAACGAACTTGAATTATGAATACACACATGAAACAGATGAGAAAACAAGCTAGAAAATATTATGTATTTACAAAAGCCAAAAAGTCGTAAAACTGTCAAAAACCAAAAGTTCGTAATTCCTTGAGGGCTGACACAGGCCGGTCGTGTCAGCCTTTGGTGTCTTATATGGAGGGAGTTTGAAGGGGAAACACGACCCGTGTCATGGGATATGGCCAAACTGTGTTATCCTCGGAAGTTTTTCATTGGAAGTGTTCTTTTCGTGTGATCTTCGACCTTTTTCACCCCAGTTCGTTTCATTGACTTCTTATTAATTAAAAACAAGTAAACGAAACAAAAGCGCATAAAAAAGAACTTGAATTACGAAAACACACATTAATATATGAGAAAACAAGCTAGAAAATATTATGTATTTACCACTTATCATCTTCCCTCTGAGATTAATGTGTTGTTGATTGGTGATGACGACGAAAAATTCAACAGTGTGTGGCCCCCGCCTCTTCATCCATAACCATGAGCCAGAGTATGGTGTATTTGACGTAGATTGTGGCATGGCGAATGAAATGGAGTTCTTATGCGGTCGAGTTAACTTCTGATACAACAAAGCGAGGGCGGACCTGAAAGGTTAACACTTCAATGTCCAAGTCAATGAATGTGTGGGAAATTAGTATGAGTGTAAGAATTAGGGAATACTTGAAATAGCTTGTGTTGGATTTTATATAGTGCGAGCGGTTAAAATTGTTCCTGTGAGATGCGACACCTTAAACGGGTTGTTGATTGATTAGATCTAACGAAGAAAACTGTGTTTGAGGCTGAAATCATGTGTCATTGGTTGCAGTGAGTCTCGCCTATTCTGCATATCTTTCCGTATAATGCTTGTTATTGGACTTTCTATTGTGGGTCTGCGAACGACGAAAAACCTAATATTTATAGCATATTTGGTTTGCCATTTGGAAGAGGCAAGAGTAATTTTAGAGGTGTAGAATTGATTCTGGAGAAATTTTGAGGTGTTTGGTTCTTCTAAAGTTGAATTGATTCTACTTTAAAACTAGATTTTGTAGTTTATGAGTTTAAACGTGATTTTTCACTGAAATTTATTGTTCAACTCATTTTTACATAAATATACTCAAACATAAATCAATTCTAATAAATTCAATTTTGTTAATATTCAATTCTATCCAACTCAATTATATCAAAATCAATTATATTCACCGTCATTCCAAACACATACTTACAATTGTAACTTAATTTATGATTTATCGTCAAAGTCTATTAAATTTGCATTGACGCATCAAATTTCCCCAATATAATAAGAAAAACTATGATACAAAGTTCACCTTACACAATATACTTTATATTGGACATGTTATAATCACACTCGTTAGTATTACCTTTTTTCTTTTTTAAAAGAAGTTTTTCGAAAAGGTGAATATATGAAAGTATGTGGAGCATTGAAGTTGGTCGATTCCACGCATATCCCTTGGAAGATGCTCCTATCTCACTTACAATTAAACCCTTTTCTCTTTTCCTTTCTCCTTTATAAACCCTTCCTCGTTGCTATGCTTCTATACTCCAACAACAACTTAGATCCTTTTATTCCAAGAGTTCTTAAAAGCTCGATAGAGTAATCAATTCTCTCTTATCACCACCAAACAATGCTTTCCACACCACCCAAGTTTGCTACTTCATGGCTGAAGATTATTATGATAAGTGATATTGGTGATGAAAGTGGTGGTAATAGTAGTTATTAATTCTCACCCTACACATCTCAGGGCAACTCCAATCCTTTGGCATATCACTTTTCTTTTATCAAGGTCTTGATATTCATGACTAGTTAGAAGCTTTTTCTTCACTTTTCTATTTATTATAGATGCATATTTAAGTATTAAATTGTATTCACTATAACTGGAGTAGTTATGGTGGCTTTTGTTTCGTAGATCAATCATACAACATATGTTATTGAATGATGTATTAATCGCCTCTATATTGTGTCAGAAATTTGAATGAAATTAACTAGAATAATATAAGGTGAATATTTAAGTACATTTTGATTATTATGTTTTTTTTTTCCTTTAAAGAGAAAAATATAGTTAAATGGTTACCTTAAAAAAACTTTTGTATGCTCTTCATTCTTCGATGAAATTAGTCATTTGACTCCTTCATCTAAAGCAACCTCAACGAGTACTTTTATTAGTTTAATACATATTTTAATTCAACAAATTAAAATAGTCTCATGATGTATTTTATGTATACTAAAAAAAACATTGTAACTAATGTATATATTTTGTTGGAATGACTCCAAATGTAAATGGGATATCCGTTGTGATATTTAAAATTTAAAACTTGGAAAACGATTTATAGAAAAAAAAATTGATTTTAAAATGTTTATGTTAGTATAAATAAACATATAAAGAAATAGTTTTGAAAAAATGAAAAAAGAAAAACACATCTAAAAGAAAATAAACTTAAAGGAGATAAGGGATAAAAAAATAACACCAAAAATTTATACAATCTAACTATTTGGACTACTTCTGTCCTCAAGATTTTTTCATTGAGATTTTCACTAAAATCTACTTTGAGTTTTTACAAAATTAGCTCAAACAACCTTCAAATACAACTTGAGTTTTTGTATAGGATAAGCATAGAAACCTTCTAATAACAACAAGAGCTTTTTTACATGTGTTTATCTCATGAATCATCACCCAATCATTTTCCAGGTTTAGCGTGTAGCATTCAAGTCTTTTACAAAGATATTACACAAGAGAACTATGTTCTTGAATAAAATAATTAAGCACATAATGAGCATAACACAACTCTTAGAAGGAATTTTTCACTCTTTTAACACTAAGACAACTCTAGTGAAAAAAGATTTTTAGAAGGAAAAAGAGTAGAAAGAATAGTAGAAAGATTTACATTTAGAAAATTGGTGTAAAATAAAATGAGAAAAATCAATTTTTATATAGGAAAAAGTCTAGCTAAAAAAGAAAATGATTCATGGGTATCTTTGAAGTTTTAATCAATTAACCCTAGGAGATAATTGATTAACCCTTGGAGATAATCGATTAGCCAACTCAAATAAAAAAAGTTTAAGTTTTGACATCACCTAATCAATTAACAACTTATTTATCAATTAAGAGATATTACAAATAGACTTAATCAATTAGAGGATTCCCTTATTCAATTAATCAGTGTAAGATACATTCTTAATTGATTTAACCAAGTTTTTAACCAATTAAACACATGCTCATAAAGGTTGTAAGAGATTTTATCAAAAGTGAATAGAAGGTTGAAACAATTTTGTGTGTGTGCATTACCTTAGTATCCATTGAGTATAACAAAAAGTAAGTATTTTTGTATATCGTCTTCATAGAAACTGATGTGTTATTAAAAAGTCATTCAATAACCTTTATGCTTCTGAGAGAATATATTTGGAAAATTGTTTGTTTGATAACTAAGTTAAAGTGATAGTAAATGAAAATAAGGTTTAAAAAATGAAATTGAGATTGTTGGGGTTATATTTCATTATCTTATATATTCTAATGCATCATTATGATCAGTTATATATATTCCTAGCCATCAATTAATATTATCACTTATAATTATGTGTATCGACGTTAAATCAGTCATATTGCTTAACTGATGATTTCTCAACCGCTTAACCAATATGATAGCATTAAATTTCAATAGTATATGTGAATGTTAGACCTAAATCTGTATCAAGAGTTTTGGAATCTAACGCATGAAAATATTTGATATAGTTAAGAAAAATATTTTTAAATATCAATTAAAAATTATTATAACTAGTTATAAGTGATTAATTCATAACAAGAATAATAATCAATACTAATGAATAATTGTAACATATATACGTCATGATCAAAATGAATACATGAGAATTTGGACAATTATATTTAACCCCAACAAAAGAGAACTTAGTTACTCTTACTCATGTGGATCTATGTGCTTGAAGGTATAATCAAAAAGTTATTCGAGATGGTGAAACACATGGATAGCAAGATTCAAGTCAATAAGGAAATACTTAGCTTTGATGATGTATGGTTTTAACAATGACAACATTTGTAGTAAAAAATTTGCTAAAATTAGCTCAAGCAGTCGAAGAGGATTGTAGCTAAAATTGCTAAAATTAGCTAAAGTTATCATGTTTAATCAATCTAAATACATTTTAAAGTCGACATTGTAGTTTAACGACTCAAGTATAGACTTAGGGTTTATGATTATCGTTAGTTTAAACTTTCAACATCTCAGATGATAGTAACTAACATGGGAATATCTCAAGCCTCGTCAAGAGGATTCAAGGCTCTCGTGTGATGATAAAGTCAAAGATAATAACAAGACTTGGAGTTTCAGAGTGTGAAAGAGAGAAAGTGTAAAAGCTAGCATGATCATGCATGTATGAGTGAATAGTGTATTGTAAAGACACGAGGACATTTCTAGAAGTATTATAGCTAAATCACACACAAATTTAAAATATTGAGAAATCTCTCATTTTTTATTCAAACAACCAAAATGTTGCTTTTGGAGCCTAGTCAGTTAATTAAGAGACAATCTACTTAATTAAGAATTTTTTCTAAGTTATCTAATGGATTATTTTTTAGCCTAATTGATTAGATGATGCATAACTGGTTTTATGATGGATTATGACATTCTCTTAATGTTTGATAACGATTCTCTATCTAAATCTTCAATTTTGGGCAATAAAAAATTATTATTTGCACTGCCTAATCAATTAGTTTCTTAGCCTAATATATTAGGTCATTTAATTGGCCAATGGATCATTTTCAAATTTACACTATTTCTTGCTCTATAAATAGAGAGTTTCTCTATCATTTCAAATCATATAGAAACGTGAAAAACCTCACTTTTTAATTCTCTCATAATCTCTCTAAATCATTCATATTTTTTTAACATATTTTAGTCATAGTGTTTGACAATGTTCTAGAGTTTATGAGAAATTTGTTCCAGGTGAGGGCTTACTTGTAAATTTTCCAAGAGTATATTTTTATCTTGTGTAAAATAATTATTTCTTTTGGTTGAGAATTATCCCATTGAAAAAGCTCTTGCTTATAATTTAGGTGGTTAGTCATAAGTCTCGGTTTGGTTCGTGAGCTCCGACGTTGAATAAAATATCTCTTTTTTGGGTTCGCGAAGATCAACCACTAAAAAATCTTCACAATAGATCTTGAGCTTAACTAGATTAAAATCTCTATTGGTTTTAGATCAAACTGGTATAAAATCCCACTCGGTTTCTAAGTTCATCCTAGTTGAAATCTCAATACATTTGAGATCAGCCCGGTTAAAATCTCAGTTAGGGTTGTGGTCAGCCCGAATAAAATCTCTGTTCTGCTCAGAGGATAGCCAACTTAAAATTGTGTATTGGTTAGAGACCATATTGTTAAAAATCTATGTTTTGTGTGAAGACTAACCGCCTCAAGATGTGTTCATTGTTTTTTGTAAAGACTACTTGCTTCATCTCTTGTTCATTGTTTGGTCAGAAGTAAGTATGAAACTTCATTTTCTTGTATAATGGGATTCATGAGCTTAACCTTCTAAAAGATCTCAAGCAATAGTGCATACTTCCCAGATCAATTCTTGGGAGAGAGGAGTAGGTTATTTCATTATATTGAACCTTTATAATATCTAATGTCATTCTTTCTTCTCTTATCTCTTTTATTTTCTACTTAATTTTTTCCTTTGAATTTTCACTAAATACTTATTCAAATATTTTTTGATAAAATTTTTTCAAACTTCGTTCCGAAAATGATTTTTTTTAAATAAACAATTTTCAAACCTCCACGTTTTACCCCTCTTCTCTATTGTGTAGGAAGTCACATGTTTAATAACTCATAAAAGTTTTACAATGATGATAAAAAAGAAAGAGATAGATTAGCATTAATGGCAATTTCTCAAACAAACGACGCCTGCACCTTAGATCTACAACACTTACCTTGGTATTTCTCCCTCTCAATTCTCTCTTGTTTTGTTCTTTTATTAAAAAATTGAAATTCTGTCTATCAGATCCCAGATGTCCTAAGAGATGTCGATACATTGGATATGTTTACACAAAATATAACAGTGCTGAAAGTAAATAACACAGGATATGTTTACCCAGTTAAGAACAACCTTCCTACTCTAGGGTCTACCAAGTCAAGGACGAAATCAACTAGATAGTATCAATTTGTAGATCTTATAACAAACCTCCAGTTTACAACCTACACACTTAATCCCTATTCTTTTTTTAACTTCTACCTAAGACACAACTAGATATGAGGCTTTCCTCAAATCCCTCTTCAATTACACTCAGCAATTGGAGCAACTCTAAACACAAGTAGAGAACAAAAACCCAGAAGCTAAACTTACAAAACACGCGAGACTCAATGCTTAAAAGCTTATGATAATTGACACAATATGGTCAATGCTTAAAAGCTTATTAACATATAACAGAGAACTTTCACCCACAAATTAGGATTCTAAAAACCCTAACACAAATAAATCTGTAAGTTCCACCTATAACTAGGTATACACTGGTCTATTTATAAATTTATTCTGGACTGGTTTGGGCTTCAAAATCGCAGCAATGAGGCTGCACAAAGTCTGCAAAAACTCCTTCAAGAAAATAGGTCTTCAATCATTAGTTTCCTAAAATGTCTCCATATTTAGAAACTAATCAAATCTTCGAAAACCAACAAAGAATATTTTGTTCTGTCAATATTGGATGGCACATAAGCTAACTGAATATTCCTTAAATATCCAATAGCTAAAAATCAGCTGACCCACAACTGTCAGCTTCCTGCAGACGTGATGTCCTATTTCCTTATTGAGACATCTTACTCGACATGTTGAAGAGAAAATGTTAGAACATCTTGTTCAATATGTTGCTGCTGAATTGGTTTTACCTAATGTTATCCAACCATAATTTCAGAGAAAT